GACTTTGACTAGACCATTCCAACACATGAATATGCTTTGTTGTAAACTATCATGCAAGTTTTAGATGAATCTCTGCTCCAACACAGAGAACGTTCCACATGTCTGCTGAACTATTTAGATTTTTATGTGTAAAATAAAACTGAAACTTTTATTTCACAGTAAAAATATGCACCAGTTTGTGTTGGTTTATCACATAAAACCAGATAAAAGACCCCGTGTGGCTCCAGAGGGATGAATAATTTAGCAAACAGAATAAAAACTAAAGTCAGGCCGAGCAGGACGGTCCGTGCTGACCTCCTCTGCTGCTGTGCTTTTTATTTTTATGTTTTTGCTTCCTGCTCTGCTGCAGTGACCCAGTTTTCACCCTCAGGGATCAATAAACATCATCTCCTCTCTTTATCGGCGCCGCCTGACAAGCGCCACAGAGATGTGCAGGAATCCGTCCTGATGACAGCCGGACAGAAAACAGGAAGATTCCTCCTGGAGTTTATCTGATCTCAGACAGGAAGCATTTAATGATGCAACAGAAGCTCAGAATCACTCTGTGAAGGAGGAATTAATAAGATTTTATTTATTTTCGACTATTTTTAATGTTTGCTGAAGCCACTGTTGAAGTTTATATGATGCACGAGATTTTAAACTGCAGAAAAGTTTCAGACGTTTTTGTCTGAAAAACAGCAATGACCTTAGAGAAGCAACTGCTGCTGCACATCAATCTGGATTATGAAGATATTTTCAATCTTTGTAAAGTTAAAATGAAATGAAGGGGAAACCTGCAGCATTCACAGAAAAAGTTAAAAACTAGTAATTGGATGAGATTAAAGTTATTTAATCCAGTTAATTTCAGGGTCTGAAACTGAAATCCTTTGATCACATTAATGGTTTCTGAACCATTAAAAAGGTTCAAAAAGCCTTTTTAATGCTAAATTATTGAATAATCACAAAATATGTCAACACATGATGATCAACATTCCTAATTTTGATGTTTTTCATGAAGTCGTTTTTATAAAATAACTATTTCATTCTGCAAATATTACAACTGCTGTCTTGTTTATTCTCCATCTGAATTCAAAGTCCAAATAAACAGAAGCTTTAAATCACACCTGCCAAACAAGATGGCCGCTCTGGGCGCAGTGACATCACTGTGAACTTTGGAAACCCAAAGAGTTCAGATTTTCCAAAAAATTAAAGGGGCATTGCCAGCAAATGTTAAATCAATGGTTAGGAGTTTTTATCGGCATGTAAACATCCAGACGAGAAGCTGGACATTCCTCTGACGGGTTTCCAGAACCAACAGCAGCAAAGTGAAGAAGAAGAAACCGGAGGACTAACGAGACGGAGAGGACGCTGAGCGGAGGAGACAGGATGTCCGTCCGCGCTCCGTCTCCGTCTCCTAAACAGAACCAACAGGCAGCTGACAGGCAGAGCCACGGGTCAGAGGTTCTGCTCATTAACAACCGGGTCTGCCGCTTCGACTGGTTCTGATCACACAAATACACAAACAGATGAGCTGCAGTCAGAGGTAGAGGTTCGGTTTGAAAGACGGAGAGATGATGAAAGGATGAAAAGATGCTGGGGGCAAAAAGAAGAAAGAGAAGATGGAAATATGGAGCGAAGAATGAATGAGGAGCTCTAGAAATCACAGAGGAAAACAGAGAAATTTAATATCAAAGCTCCGTGTTCAGAATAATAAAGAGACCTGCTGTAAAAAAACACTCATAGAATGACTGAAGAACCGTGATGATAAAAAAAGATGGAGACCAACAGAAACAAACATGAGGTCTATTAAAATTCTGCAAACAAAGAGACGACAAGAAACATGGAAAACAGGAAGGATCAGAGAGAAAACGAGGATTTAAACAATGTCAGGAAGAAATTATTACACAAGAGATGCGATTATTAAAAACAGACAAATCCACATTGTCTTCTCAACATCAGCACCATAGAGACAACCTATTGATCATTTTTCTGATTAACTGATTTTGGATAGCAAAAGATGCTTAATAAGAGATTTATTTTAACAGAATTTGAATCAGCTGCCACTTGGAGTTCTGGATATAACAGATTTACAAACATTTATTTTATCATAAAAGTGGAATGTTTATCTTTTTTGACCAGTTTTTGGCTTTTCTTTGGACTTTGGTAACTTTTAATTTCCCTTCTGGTAAACCATTAAAAGCCCAACAGGTGGAGGACAAAATTAAATATTTCAGGCCAAGCAAACAATCTCTAGCAAATAATCAGGATCTACAAGGTAAATATTGACCAAACAGTGAAAAAATAATTTTACAAAACTGAAAGAAGACCAGAGTTTTCAGCTAATAGTTATCTTCAGTTATCGTTGGTATATGTATTAAATAAAACACACCAGACTGACCTTTGCCCTCATTCTAATCGCTTTCATAAACGCTCTACTAAATATCCTCGACGGGCTTTTAAAACGAGCCTCAACAACCTTTTATCAAACACAAACAGCATCCAGGATCTTCCTGACTCATGTATTGGTTGACAGAATGTAGCTAGCATGATATGGTCACATGGCTTCTGAAGCTCTCCTATGATTGGCTGATCGGTCCACCCTGACGACTCCTTCCCAGGAAACTTCACTAACTACAGCTAAAAAAATAAATACATGACGGATGGATTCAAGTTAAAGAAACACTTAAAGTTATGAAGAACAGAGAAAAGATGCTGATAGAGGATATAACATGAATTAATAAATTAAAAGAAAAAAGAGCATAAAATACATGAATGAACGGTAAAAATAGACTAATTTAGAGATGTTTCCATATGAAAAGGTGAGAAGGAATGATGGAGTGATGATAGATGGGAGGCTGGATGACCTGGAACAAAATAAAAAGGAAAATCGAGACTTGCTAATTAAGACTGATGAATAAAGTAAAGAAGAAAGAAAGGAAGGAGGGAAGATGGAGGGATGACGGCGGAAGAATGTGGAGGAGGATGGAGGGAATTCCCTGTTGCTTGAAGCAACAGCCAATCAGCTCTGCAGACTTCCAGCACATAAACTGTTACATAATGTTACAGAAGGGGGTTCACCCTCATTTTAACGCTAAAAACACACAAAATATCGCGAGAATTGTTCAAATGCCACCATAAAACAGCATCCGACTGAGAATTTAATTTGAAAAATCTTAAAAAAGAAACATTATAAACTGAACATATCAGCAAATATATCTACAGAAATGTTGACAAGTAACACATCACGACTTTGATTGGATAAAATAAACACATTAGAAACTATATTTATGAAGAATTGGAGCGTTTTACGGATAATGAAGAAAATGAGATTCAGTGTTTACCTCGCAGCACTTCGGGTTTCAGTAAATAAACAGAGTTTCATCCAATTCAGGCGCATTAAAGTGTAATTATTACGGAAAAAGAGACACAAACAAGAAAAAGTAACAAATACATGAACATGTTGTCTTCTTACCTGGGTGGCTTTATGGAACTGCTTTTTCAACCCCGCGACAGACATCCTCTCTTCGGCTTCACAGGCAGAAATAAACAGCGGAAATAAAGATTTCAGGCTATTTCCGGCGGACTGGACGGTTTAATTCGCGCTAAGAGGAGAACGTGTTAGTAAATCCTTCAGGTAGCGGCGGATACAGTCCGATTTTCCCGAGGAAACTGGAGGAAAGAGGAGCAAGCGAGGATGATGATGGTCAGACCAAACCCAGCTGGATCTATTTTCAGGCGGACACAGATCGTCTAATAACAAGATGAGTCACCTTGATTGGAAATATGGGGCAGTTTTTGAAACGAGCTGGAAAATGAAAAACGTCAGTCATTATGAGTGGAATAACTTTGAACAAATTAATTAAATCTGATATTTTGCCAAATGTACACACTGTTCATTTTTATATGTTAATTTATATTACTCATTTAATTTAAGATTGTTTGAAATAAATTCTTTAAAATGGGACCTTTAAAATTAAATATAACCTCAGGTATATTTTTCAAAAATAATAATAATAGATTATTATTATTATTATTATTATATGATAAAGTATTATATTTTAAAAACAATTTTTCATTTTTTCACTCAAACTGTAATCTGAAAAACTGTACAATGTAATGCAGATGTTGTTGATTTAAAAGAAAAAGTCTACATTTCCTTTTTTCTTCTTTTTCCAGTGGCTATTATTCTCTTCGTTATGTGTAAATAAGTAGCCTTGTTTGGATTTGTGATGTAATTAACTAATTATATGTAGTATAATATTGCTAATTTGGTTAATGTTCCTTTTCTTCTGTATGTATTCTAAACATTACCTCGGATAAATTCGTCGTTTCAGAATAGCAAATAAAACCTCTGACTAATTCTACGATATTGTTTAAGTGATTTTGTTTTCATCACGAACCTACTGATATGTTTATTTTGTTTAATTTTAAACTGACCTCTGGTTATTATTATTATTATTTTTTATACAATAAACATTTTAAATTAAAAAAAAAATCAACTTAAAGTTCTGTTAACATACAGTTCTCTCTTTCGAACATAGACGATCTTTGGCAGGGAGTGAGCTGAACCGTTCTCTGTCACGTGAACACGCCGCCCTCAAGCATCCACGCGCCGCCCTGCAGAGCACGAGACGTTTACCTTTGATGTGGGATCTTAGACTTATAACTGTGACGTCGCCATAATGATCAAAGCAGCTGTTTGTAGAAAACAAACGGTTAAAATAAAGAGAGAAGAAGATGAGCTGAGTTTAGTGTTTCAGCACCATGGACAGCTCAACAGGGGGTCTCATGATGCTTTTAATACGGCTGGGAAATTAGAGCGTCGATAAGAGAAAAAATAATAAATCAATAGAATTCGTTAAAAAAAACTCGCAGTGAAGAAATCATTAATATAATAAAAATAACACCAACAACTCCTTTAAAATCAATTAATTGTAGATATTGTGAATAAACTGCCGTAAAGTTGATCATTTATTGATTTATTTGCTAATAAAAAATATATTTCTGTCTTTAATTTAAACATGAACTCAAGATTTTGAATTCATGTGATGCCTTTTTTTTTTTTTTTTTTTTTAACCTATTAATCGTTTAGTTTTCAATCCCAGTCTGTAAAAGAGAATAATCTGAACTCCCATTTCCTCTGAATAATCCAACCTGGAAGCAGGCAGAGGGCCTCTGCTGCCACCATGCGGTGGTTTTTAACATCGCACCTCCAGCCGTGCTTCATTAGTATGTTTTACAAATAAAAAGGTGTTTAAAAACACGATTCTGTTTACTTCAGCGCAATTATTTGATCTACTTAGATAAAATAAATAAATAAAATACTATAGAATAACAAAGTAATAAAACATAAACAGTGAAACACACACACACACACACACACACACACACACACACACACACACACACCCCCACACACACACACACACACACACATATATATAACTGATACTTATCGATAGATATAACTTATACAAAATAGAAATAAATCTCCGCTATGAGGGAATTCCTTTCAAATTAAATGTTAAATGTTTTGATATTTTAGGTAGTTTTGGGGTTTAAATATTTACCAGAATTTCATTTGTTTCTGTTTGTTGCTCTTTTAAATGTACAAAATATGTTTGTACTGACAATGAATAGAATAGAAACATCTTTTATTGACCTTCAGAGGGGAAATCCAGGCAACACTTTGCTATTGTTGTTTTGTTTATCAAAGTTAAATTGTGGTTTACTATTACATTCGGGAAAATCTTTACAAAAATAGCAAATATGTGTTTCATTGTACTTATTTTTAAAATAAATTTATTTTGTCTTTTATTATTATTAATACAGATGTTTTATACGGCAGAAAACATCGGTTCCGTTTTTTCTTGTATTCATATCTGTACCGGATCTACATCCATTATGAATGCTGTACTTCCTTTCTTCCACCACCAGAGGGCGGAACTTCCCATCATTCTCAGCGAGGAGTTCACTTAACACTTCCTCTCTTCTCCTGTGTAACAAAAACTCCTCCCTAAAGGTGAAAATATATTACAGATTTCAAAAGAAAATAAAAATGGGAGTCCACGGATAATATAGGAAATAGCGCCCCCTTCATTTTCGGAGTGCAATGGTCCCATTTCCAAATAGGGTATGAGATCTCTGTTTGCTGCAGCGAGGTTCTTCTCATCAGTTCTCGTTTCCAGCTTCCTGTTCTTTATTCTGCCACCATTTTGTTCCTGCTAGTTCATCATGTTTCCATAAAGCAGCCACAGAGGACTGGAGCTGAAAGGTTCTGGTTCTGGTTCAGTAACCGGGCCTGGTGTCTGCATTAACAAATTGATTTAATCCTTTCTCTGCTGCTGCTTTTGCTGAATGATTGAAGTTAGCCTCTACTTTGTGTTGATGGTTGATCTCAGGGATCAGTAAAGCCAAACAGAACTGGACCAGACCTTGGTTCTGGTCTGGGAATGCCTCCGGATTCCCTAGAGGAGCTGGGGTTATGGTTGGATGGTTGGATGATGAATGGATGATGGATGGATGATGGATACTCTTGTGTCACTCCGTTAGCTGCTAACCTTGCTTGGTGTTTTATGAGCAGCAGTCAGACCTGAAGCTGCCTCAGGCAGCCATGTTGCTGTCACCTGGCCAGGTGAGCTGTGACGGTGAACTGACCTGAACCTTGTCATCCAGTCAGACGTTACCTGGACTTCTAATCCGGCTCCACCCAGGTGCTGATGCTCCTCCTCAGTTCCTCCTGTAAGGTGGAGGAGCCTTCAAGGCCCAAACAGAACGACTGTGTGTGCTTCCTTGTAATGCTGTTACCATGGCAACAGCATCTTTCAGGTTCACCAACAGGAAGTTCTCTCAGGTCTGCCCTCCCATGCTGCGTCCCGGCCCCCCAAGGAGTCGTCTGTCTGGTCTGCTTTCCGTTGCTTTGATTGGGCGCCTTGGTGCTGAACTCGTTGACCTCCAGCTCAGCCTCCTGGCCTTTAGACTCTTTCAGCCGACCTCAGGCAGGTCGGGTCCGGCTCTAACTTGGAAACTCTGGATTCTGGAAACATTTTGGAGGTTGATGCAGTCAGAGGTCTGCAGTCCTCCAGATTCCTGCAGCTTTTAGATCCATCTCTGCTCCAGCGCAGCTGAATGAACTGACCGTTACCCGACCTGACTGCTGAAGAGACGATTCAGTCACCTGAACTGGTCAGAACGGGACGATACAGGACGGAATAGGACTACCCTGTCCACCTGTCTGGTCAGGAAGTCGTCATGATGGTGTCCAGAGGAACAGGAAGTCCAGAGGTCGATCCTGAAGTCACTCTCAGAGTAGCTCTGAACCCGCCTGGTTCTGGAGGGACCCAGTTCTGACCCAGAGCAGGAGGAAGGTACTGACAACCCAGCCTGGTTCTGATGGTGCTACCCAACAAGTTCAGCTGAGGTCCAGTTCTGCAGCTGGAGGTTCTGTCTGTTCATCCATAATAGACCTTTGTTGGTTTATTATGGATCAGATGTGCTGCCGGGTCGGTTCCGGATTAATCTTTAGCTAAATGGATCTCTAATGGAACAAAAAGAAAAGGTTCTGGAGGAACCACGGACTGGGTCGATCAGAGAGCTAGACTTCCTGTCAACGATTAATGTTACGGATCAGAACCCGGCCAGTGCCTGCATGGAGACAGATGATTGGATGTCTCAGAGGTTGGACCTTGGTGGTCCAGAGAGACGGAGAGGACATGTCCAGAAAACAAACACAACCTGGACAGACGAGTTTCAGCAGAAACGGCCGATACAGGACACAACACACATCACAGCCCTTATACGGCTCTTCCGGGGGCGTGGTCACGTCATCAGGGGGCGTGGTCACGTGGACATGGTTTTTATATGGAGTCTGGAGGCTGCCTCATTCACTGCTGTTTCCTGGAGTCTGTCTGACCCTCCGTCTCTGACCCTCCGTCTCTGATCCTCTGTCTCTGATCCTCTGTCTCTCGGTTCTCTACGCTCCGGTTCTGATTCTGGACCAACAGGATGGGCAAACTGCAGGTAAGACATAAAGCAGTACCAGCAGCTCAGAACCGGTCCAGAACCAGAACAGCTCAGTCATTAGGCTCAGTGAAGAGAGCTGCAGGTCTGCAGCCTTCAGCTGCCTGTGAGGTCCAGACTCTAGTCCAGGACAGGTGGACAGCAGAACAGGCGGACAGGTGGACAAGTGAACAGGTGAACAGGAGGAGAGGTGGACAAGAGCACAGGTAGGCAGGAGGACAGATGGAGATTAGGACAGGTGGACATTAGGACAGGTAGGCAGCAGGACAGGTGGGCAGCAGGACAGGTGGACAAGAGGACAGGTGGACATTAGGACAGCTAGGCAGGAGGACAGGTGGAGATTAGGACAGGTGGGCAGGAGGACAGGTGGAGGTCTGGACATTAGGTTTGTTCTTTTTCTGGTCTAGTTCTGCTGATCTTAATCTTCTCCGGTGTTTATGGGTTCGTGCCAAGTCAGAGGGGGCGGGGCTTCTCCAGGTATGCAGGTAACTGCCTCTGGTTGCTAGGCAACAGAAAACACTGCAGAAGCTCAAAAGGTTACAGATAAAAACACAGAGAGAGTCTGACTTACAGGCTGGTTCCGGTTCTCACAGTTCTAGTTCTGATCGGTTCTGATTGGTTCTGGTTCTGTTTCCAGGTTGGTGTGGTTCTGCTAATGATGTTGGACCTGAGTTCTGCTCAGTTACAGAGACCGACCTGTCCGCGATGTCAGGAAG